GGTGAACATCTAACAGAGCTTACACCCTAGTTCAACTTTCTTGCTCGGTTCATTAATTATGACGGTCTGCTTTTTTGAGGGAACACCATTCAGATCCCGCCATCGCTACGCGGAGATATGCTGGAACTTAGCCGTAGTGCCCACCAAAGCAATAACCGAAATATAAACAAACAGGACTGATATTCTGGATCCTAATAACCATCCAAAACCCAGAACATGGACCAGACTTCGGAATTCTGCAAACTGTGGAACCGCTGACATTGCATGCCAATCCAAGTGGATTTACTCGGTGACCGCATAAAAACTATTTACTCACGGTGGCTTACTGTATCACTTATTTCGGAACTAACCCACTCACCGTTGTCATGATGGAGGAGTCGGCCAAAGACTAAAATAACAGTTCACCTGAAACGAAATGCAGGAAGAAATGGAGTTTAACAACACCGCACCGTTTACAGTGTTGAGTACCGAATCTGAGGCTGTGCACTGCGTTGAATTTGCCACGTGATGCTGTGACGCTCTCACAGCTTCTCGAAACGGATTTTGTCTACAGTGTACTGGGTGACGTAGATCTCGATCGGTAACCATTCATGTACTAATACTAAATGGATCAACTGAGCACTAGACTGGATGCTGTTGTTCCGTGTTACTCTTGGTGGTTGTGTCCATGCGTCACACCCGGTACGTGGCTCGAGGCTTTACATAGCGTAGAACAGATCAGACCTTAGTGATATACCTGACCTAGTCTGCTTACCGGGCCGCCTGTTTAAGATGCGTTAGTTGCTGCGATCTCCGTAACTAATTCGACTATGACGCGGGGCGATGATAATCACTTGGAAGCTATCTCGTTGATGTCATCTTGTATGTCAACATTAGGCAGCATATGACCCGTGTCTTTTACCGTTTCGGTGTTCCCACGGTGTGGCAGCTTTTCATTTGTTTGTCACTGTTGGTTATTTGGGTTCCCTTTATCATTTTTATTTAGGCTGTCTATGTTAATACATTCTCTCAGGACAGCAAATATCCATGAGGCCAGACAAACTCAGCCTCCTGGTCCTCCAGGTTGGGGGTTAGAATGGGGGTGGCTCCTCATTTCATAAAACGGGCTCTGTAGTCCAGTGCCAAAACCCGCTGCCTTGCTGCCAGGTTTTTGAACCAAAGGCTTTGGTTGAGAACCCTAATCGTTCTCCTGTCTAGGCCTGGGCAACCTGACAGTATTCTGCCCACGCAATACAATGAACCTTTCCTACAACAGTTTCTTGATGCTCTGGCCGTCGCAGAGGATAATAAACGGCGCCCTATCTGCTGCATCGAGCAGGGTGGATAGGGGTTTGGATGCTACTGCTCAGTCCTTTCCGTCTTCTTATATCCCTTCTTGCGCTTCTGCATCCTTATTGTCCCGCTCCAACTTTACTTATACCCCCCATTTTCAATCCCCCAATTCTTGGCCCTCCTCCAGCTTACTTCAATAGTCGCTTGTCTTCTAATTTCAAATCCCACACAATCGCAGGGCCTCGCTCCAATCCAGTCGACAAGTCCATGTTCAACCAAGCGGACTACGTCAGTTCATCCGTTTCCCTTTGGAGTCCTCATGTCTCGCTAAGATTGGCATGCCTCAACGTGCGCACTTTGCTGCAGATTGGCCAACAGGCAGCACTTGCCCGCCCACTAGAGACCCTATCGATCGATATTTGCTGTTTATCAGAAACCCGCCTGCAAGGTTCGAGCTCCGTGTTTACCCTGAGATCCCCCACATGCGACACTGGCGGTACATTCTCATTGCGCCTATCTGGCGATGATGCAGCTTCAAATGCCGGTCAAGCTGGCGTCGGCATTGTTTTGAGCCCCCGGGCTGAAGCTGCCCTGCTTGATTGGATCCCAGTAAACAGTAGGATGTGCGCCGTTAGATTAGCTGGTTCGTTCCGTGCTTCGAAGTCGCGCGGGGACAAACGGTGCCTGTTTGTCATTACGGCCTACGCCCCTACAAACTGTAGCACTGATTCGGTAAAAGATGATTTCTATCAGCAACTTCACGAGCTCCTTCGTTACAGAAGAAGCACGGATACTGTGGTGCTGGCTGGCGATCTAAACACCCAAGTCGGAAAATTGTCCTCTGATGAGCTTCATCTGGGCGGCCAACATGGTGTAGGCTCCCGTAATGATAATGGTGAGCGATTGCTACAGCTGTGTGAAGATGCTCGCCTCTTTCTCGCGAGCACTAACTTTCGACACAGCACCCGCAGAAGTGTGACTTGGCGGCCACCAGCCTCGGGCCAGTCATGGACGCAAATCGATCATATCGCGATCAGTTACCGCTGGAGAGGCTGTGTCCAAAAGTGTCGCTCGATTTGGAGCACGAGCGTGGACTCTGACCACGCACTTGTCTGTGCCGACCTCCTGGTGCGTTTCGGTGGACGTCCGCGACATCGATGTGAACGGATTGACACTAGCCAGCTGGCGAAGCCAGATGTTCTGAATGTGTACCAAGATGCGCTGACATCTAGGCTGAGTAAGCACCCACTAAACACCGTTGAAGATCACTGGTCGCATACTCGTCAAGCGTTGCTGTTATCAGGCATGTCTTCATGTTGCAAAACAAATTGCCAAACCGGACATTGGGTCTCTACACAGTCTCTGGAACTTATGGATGCTCGCCGACGTATTCCGGCTGGAAGCGAATACAATGAAGCTCGCAAAAATCTCAGGCCGAAACTACGTGCTAGCCTAAAGAAGGACCGCGATACCTGGTGGTCTCATCGTGCCTCTGAGATGGAAACAGCCGCTGCCATTGGTAATCATCGTAAGTTATACCGTCTGATACGGGCAACAGGCAGCAGGAGACCTGGTGTTAGCGAGACCATACGCGACGAGAGTGGGCAGATGATCCACAGCCTATCAAAACGCTTGGAGCGTTGGGCTGAACACTTTGCGAGGAAATTTAACCAACCTGAGTTATCGCTTTTTTCTTCGGGCATTGAGCGCCCTTCTCCTTGGTCCGTCTCCTTGGATCCGCCCTCACGCGCAGAAGTCGAACGTGAGATCAGACTGTTGAAATTGCATAAGGCCGCAGGAGCAGATACAATTCCTCCAGCGCTCTTCAAATTCGGTGGACCTGCTCTAGTAGATGATCTACACGAGTTGCTAGTAAAACTTTGGGAGCAGGAGACAGTCCCGACAGACTGGAACCGCTCCGTCATTGTCCCAATTTTCAAGGGAGGCTCCCGTTTAGAATGTGGCAATCACAGAGGGATCAGTCTGATTTCGATTGCCTCTAAATTGCTTGCGTCTGTCATTCTCCACAGACTGACTGACACTCGTGAAAGCCAGATTCGTGAAGAGCAAGCCGGATTTCGTCGAGGTCGGGGCTGCATCGACCACGTCTTCACATTGCGTCAAGTGTTGGAGCACCGCCATATTTATTGGCGACCCACCGTTGTCGTGTTTCTTGACATAAAAGGTGCCTTCGACTCAGTCGATCGATGTGCCCTTTGGAACTGTCTGTTGAGGAAAGGTGTGCCTGATAAATATGTAAACATTATCAAAGCGCTGTACGCACATAGTTCGGGCAGGGTGAGGGTTTATGGCAAACTCTCGCCACCCTTCAGTATCACCAGCGGTGTGAGACAAGGATGCCCGCTGTCACCTTTCCTCTTCAACCTCGCTATTGATGAAGTCATAGAAACAGCGTTCGCTGGACACGACCTAGAAGGTGTGGAGCTACTCCCTGGTGAGCGACGTCTTGACTTGGAGTATGCAGACGATATTGCCCTAATCTGTGACAGCTCCCAAACATGCCAAACAGCACTTAACCAATTAGTACTGGCTGTCAATCGTTTTGGGCTATGCTTTGCTCCATCGAAATGCAAAGTACTTCTCCAAGATTGGCAGGGACCCAACCCTGCGCTAACGCTTGGTGGTGATCTGCTAGAAGTCGTTCAGGAATTTAAGTACCTGGGCAGCTATATTAGCACCCGTGGGATTGAAGATGAGGTTACGAAGCGTATAGCAAAAGCTGGAGGAGCTTTTGCCAATCTCCGCCACCTGTGGCGCAGACACGACATTACTCTCGCTCTCAAGGGCAGAGTTTACAACGCAGCCGTCCGTTCAACTCTCCTATATGGCTGTGAAACCTGGCCCATCAGGTCGCCAGACATAAAGAGACTCGTCACATTCGATCATCGCTGCCTTCGCAACTTAGCTCATGTCTGGTGGGAACACCGCGTGAGCAATGAGCGTGTTCGGCGTCGTGTATTTGGTGCAGGAAGAGCGAGTGAACCGCTCAGCACGATTATATCACGCACGAGGCTCCGATGGCTGGGCCACGTGTTGCGCATGCCAGCACACCGACTCCCACGACGTGCATTGTTTGCGTGTTGTGGGTGTGGTTGGAAGAGGAGGAGGGGAGGCCAAGTGATGACTTGGTCGAGAGAAATGAAAGCCTTCACTTCGAAGTTGGCGTCGGTTGGTGCATCCCGACTGCCTGGTTGGGGTCCTAAGGACGGTGAACATGTTTGGTTGGACACACTTGCTGATATGGCTAGGAGCCGGCCCTAATGGCGTTTGTGTTGTGAGTTCCTTTGTCCATCCCCCTCCTGTTTAGCATCCCCTCCAATCACGATCTCAATCGTTAGGCATAATATGACTTTCTTTTACGGCAGCCAGCTGTTAGCTCTCCGGAACGATGTCCATCCGTTACTGGGGACTCAGCGGGCGTGCCACTGTTTGTTTGTTTTTTTCCTTTTTTCTTGCCTTTTGTATTGTGGCACAATAGCTGAGATGTTTTCCACCTCCAGCTAACGTGTAATGATGATTATGATGATGATGCAAATATCCATGACATATCACGGCTGCGCTGCCACTTATGATCATGACCGGTGCATTCAGAAATGAACTAGCATTCCTACACCTCACTCTGCTTGTGAGGTTTCCCCACCCACTATATATCAGCCATAATAAGTTGGTTCCCATCAGTTATCGTTCCCACATTTCTGTTTCCACAGGTGAATCACAAATTGCCGACGCATTGGCCAAAAAGATTCGTGTCGTCTGTATGGTTCTCACTATGCCATCCAATCACGAAACTAAAGCACAAGCCGTCAGGGATACTTGGGCTTCGCGATGTAATGCTCACTTTTTTATCAGTAGTGTTGAGGACTCATCGCTGCCCAGTTTGGGTAAGTCATTTTCATGTTAACGAGTTCTGTAATGATAGTAGCGACCGACGCACTCCACTAGGGGAATTTATTTCGCATGTGGTCCTAAAGTGCAGTGACCTAGACTTCGAATCCGATTTTTGATAATCTGCAGAATTTTTCAAGGCAAGCTGCACTATGAACTATCAAGCAATTCAGGTTTATTTTAGGGTCATTTGAAGTACTATTTGGATTGCATTGGATTGTGAGACGCAATATCGAAATAGACCTGAATCGCATTAAACTAAACCTTGACCAATCCGATCGCTAGGACCGTAGCTGAAGCTTATGGACATAGGTTATTGCTCGCCCGAAAACGCTGTACTCCACTACGCGTCTTGACTATAGTTGACCTCGTCAGGTAGCTAAAGTAGGCTTCGAATCCGGGCTTATTTGGATGTTAGTTGGGACCTCTAACTCTTTAGCCACCAGGTCACGACGGGCAACGCTTGCCACAACGGTTGGTGACTAATTAGAGGGTCATTTGACATACTCCTTGTGTGAATGGATTGCGACGCGCACTGGCATTGTGGACCTGAGTCGCACGGAAGCCTACCTTGGCCAGTTTGATCACTAGGACTGTAGCTAAAGCGTATCGAAATAGGGCTTAGTTTGGATCAGCTGCTGGAAATATTCGCACACCAACTGCGGTGTGGGATGATTTATTTATGAAATTTTGCTGTCTCAGAATTTTTCTTATTTCACCGAATATGGGTACGCACGTCGTTTGCCATTGTTCTTGCTTTTCGTCTTCTCCATAAGTTATAATCAAAGCTCGTCCCCGGTTGCTTTCGATCATTTTAGAAAATCCGCCAGTTGGGGCACAATAGCTAACTGCTCTTACGCACAGTTGGAGAACACTGGGCAGCTCGCTTATGTCTTAAAGCAACTGATGAGTTTTTATGTTGAAATCTGCGTGTTACTTTGATCATGCCGTAAGTAATGAAAGCAAGCTGAACTTGACAGGCAATCGGTTGGTTTATTTGTAACTATTTTAGTGTGGGTTTTACGTGCAAGTGCCGGATGCGTTGAACTGCTTCCAGATCTAGAACTAATTGCTTTTTACGCCAGTGCGCGGCGACAAAAGGTAATGCAACGGCCTGCACCGCCGGTTCAGCTATCTTCGATTGAGCGTTCACTGTTACATCGAGTCGAGAACTACGAGGGTTCGACCTCCGAATTAGTATGACAAAGTCCTGTGCAAATACCCTACATTTGGCAACGCTTTTTCACTCCACCGATCTAATCGGGATCGACGAGAACGATGCGTTTTGCTGTGACGTATCACAGCGAACATACTGCATTCATCGATCCATCCAACTGAAAATCATCACTCGATGCCATTCTCATCAGCACTGTCACCTTGGTTACAATTCCCTGCCACTAGACAAGGATTCCACTGTTATAAGTTTATCAAAGGTGCCTGGACAAAGATTCCTTTTGGCAACCTGTACTGACACAACTTGCGCATCGAAACCGAAACTTCCGAACATGAAAATAAGAAGACTATTTGTGTTGGAGCGTCGCCATTTCGTGCTTTCTAATCTCAATGAGGCTGGATCTTACCGTAGTGCGATGGCTTGTGTTCCTCAGCGATCCATTGAGCTATACTGGGTGGTGCACTTTTGCAACTTCAGTGCCACTCATACCAGATTGATCAATGGTTAGAGGCCAGACAAACTCAGCCTCGCGGTCCTTCAGGTTGGAGGCTGGAATAAGATGGCTCGTTATTCCTTACAACGGACTCCTTGTAGCCCAACGCCAAACCCGCTGCCTTGCAGTCAGGTTTTTGAACCAAAGATTTTGGTTGAGAACCCTAATCGTTCTCCTGTCTAGGCCTGGGCAACCTGACAGTATCCTGCCCACGCAATACAACGAATGTCTCTTCAAACACTTTCTTGATGCTCTGGCCACCGCAGAGGATAATCAACCGTGCCCTGTCTGCTACATCCAGCAGGGTGGATAAGGGTTTGGATGCTACTGCTCAAGCCTTCCCATCTTCTTACCCCCTCTCTTACGCTATTTCTCTCTTAACGTTCCGTTCCAGCTTCACTTTTATCCCCCCAGTTTTTAACCCCCAAATTCTTGGCCCTCCTCCAACATGCTTTGCTAGGCTTTTACCTTCTAGTGTCAATTAACATGTGAACGCACAGCGTCATTCCTGTCTCGTCGGCAAGCCCATGTCTTACCAAATGGTCAAGCCCAGTTCATCGACTTCCATTCGATCATCCTTCAGTTTGGCATGCCACAATGTACACACATTGCTACAGATCAGTCAACAGGCAGCACTTGCCCGAACATTAGAGAACCTCTCCATCGATATCTGCTGCTTAACTAAGACCCACCTGCAAGACTCGACGTCTGCGCTCACTTTGCGATTCCCTTCAGGTGACACAAGCAATATTTTCTCATTGCGCCTATCCGGTGACGATGCAGCTTCGAACACAGGCCAAGGTGGTGTAGGATATTCCCTGAGTCCCCGGAGTAAAGCTGCTCTGGTTGACTGGATTCCAATCAGTAGCCGCTTGCGTGCGGTCCCATTGGCTGGCTCGTTCAAAGTTTCGAAGTCGCGCGGGCCCAACAAATGTCTACTCGTCATCGCTGCCTATCCACCCACAAACTCTAACAATGACTCGATAAAAGACGACTTCTATCACCAAGTGAACGAGCTCCGTAGCCACAGAAGAAACACGAACACTGTAGCGCTCGCTGGGGATCTGAACGCTCAAGTTGGAATATTACCCACTGATGAACTGCATCTGATCGGTCCACATGGTGAAGCCTCCCGTAGTGATAACAGTGAGCGGTTCCTTCATTCGTGCGAAGATGCTCGCTTATTTCTTGCGAGCACTAACTTCCGACATAGCACCCGCCGGAAGGTGACTTGACGCCCACCAGCCACGAACCAAACTTGGACGCACATGGACCATATTGCAATCAGTTAGCGCTGGAGAGGCTGCGTCCAGAACTATCGTTCGATTTGGAGCACAGGTTTGGACACCGACAATGCATTTGTATATGCTGACCCGCGGATGCGTTTTGGCGGACGCCCACGACGACGTTGTGAACGCATTGACACCAGCCAACTGGCGAAACCAGCTGTTTTGGATGCCTATCAAAGTACGCTGTTATGCGAGTTGAGTAAGCGATCACTGGATGTAGTTGAAGGTCACTGGTCACATGTTCACCAGACCTTACTAGCAGCAAGCAAATCGTCATGTGGTAAGTCTAATCGCTAACATGGACCTTGGGTCTCTTCGCAGTCTTTGGGACTTATCGATGCTCGCCGGCGTATTCCGGCTGGAAGCGAATACAGTGCAACACGCAAAGAGTTCTGTGCTAGCCTGAAGAGAGACCGCGAATCCTGGTGGTCTCATCGTGCTTCAGAGATGGAAATGACCGCTGCCCTTGGTAAACATAGTAAGTTATTCCGGATGATATGGGAAACGGACAGCAGAGGACCTGGTGTTAGTGAAACTATACGTGACAAGAGTGGACAGCCTATCCACAACTTATCATACCGCTTGGAGCGTTGGGCTGATCATTTTGAAAGACAATTTAACCGGTCGGAATTCTTAGATTTCTCGCCAGCGACTGATCGCCCCGCTCCGTGGGCTTTCCCTTTAGATCTACACTCTCGCTCAGATGTTGAAGGTGAGATCGCACTCTTGAAGTTAAATAACGCCGCGAGACCAGATGACCTACCTCTAGTCCTCCGCAAATCCGGGGGAATTGCTCTTGTAGATGATTTACACGAGTTACTAATGAAACTATGGGAGCAAACAACTATCCCAACCGACTGGAGCCGCTTCGTCATAGTCCCAATTTTCCAGGGAGGCTCACGATCAGAATGCGCAACCATAGATGGATCAGTCTGATCTCCCTCGCCTCCAAATTGCCTGCCTCTGTCATCCTTCACAGACTGACTGACACTTTGAAAGCCATATTTGTGAAGAGCAAGCCGAGTTTCGTCGAAGTCGTGGCTGCATCGACCGCATCTCCACTTTGTGTCAGTTGTTGGAGCACCGTCACATATATTGGTAGCCCACCATTGTCGTGTTCCTTGATATCAAAGGTGCATTCGATTCGGTGGATAGACGTTCACTTTGGGACTGTCTACTCAGGAAAGGTGTACCCGAGAAATATGTAAATATTATCCGAGCATTATATGCGCGTTGCTCGGGCAGCGTGAGGACTTAGGGCAAGCTGTCGTCGCCCTTTAACATCTCCAGTGGTGTGTGACAATAATGCTCGCTGTCACCTTTCCTCTTCAACTTCGCTGTTAACGAAGTCATGGAAATCGCGTTCACAGGACACGACTTAGATCTGCTCTCAGGAGAACGACTTCTTGACTTGTAGTATGCTGACGATATTGCCCTAATCTGTGACAGCTCCCAGACGTGCCAAGCGGTACTGGACAGATTAGTACTGGCTGTCAGCCGCTTCAAGCTTTGCTTTGCACTACTGAAGTGCAAAGCTTTCCTCCAAGACTGGTCTGGACTGCGTCCTACGCGGACTCTTGTTAAGGATCAGCTAGAAGTCCTTCAAAAATTTAACTATCTGGGAAGTTGTATCAGCGCCCGTGGGATTGAAGATGAAATTACGAACCGTATAACAACAGCTCGAGGCGCTTTTGCCAACCTTCGCCACTTATGGCGCCGGCGCGACATCACTCTCGCCCTGACGGATAGAGTGTACAGTGCAGCGGTACGTTCGACTCTGCTGTACGGTTGTGAAGCCTGGCCCCCTTAGATCAGCGGACATAAAGAGGCTAGTTACATTCTACCATCGGTGCTGTCGCAATTTAGCTCACATCTGATGGGAACACCGCGTGAGCAACGAGCATGTTCGACGCCTTGTTTACAGCAAAGAAAGTGAACCGCTCAGCACAGTTATTTCACGCACCAGGCTCCGATGGCTAGGCCACGTGTTACGCATGCCAGCCCACCGACTCCCGCGACGTACGTTGTTTGCGCGCCGTG